CTTTGTTATGTCATTGTACAAATAATAATAACATTTGTTACATTGAATAGGCAATAATACTGTAATACGTATGACAGGCTATTTCCGTAATACATCGTACGACGTTTTTTGAAACATGAATTTCTCCTTTTTTGAACGCGCTGATAATGTGAAAAAAGCATGCATGTTTCGTTTTTAAACTGAAGTACTATTGAACTTAACAACTTTGATTCATTCGATTCACTTTATATGTGGAAATTCTTTACCTTTATTGTTATACAAGTTGGTGAGCACTAGATGATAATCTGTATCCATGCTTCTCGAGAATCTTTTCATTGGTTTTTATGCATATTTATTTTGTGGTTATAAATATATATGCAACATGATGAGCGAGTAAATAGAGCAACATATAATGATATATAATGATGTTACTTAGGTTACCCGCTATTCTGGTCTTTACCAAAAATTGAATTCTGTACTATTATCTTATCGTTTATGTATTACCATTTTATTTATTTAAAAAAATCCCTGCAAGAAAAAACGAGTTTTTTACCGGGACTTTTATATCTCTCTTTTTGGTTTGGTCCCAAGATGTCTTTATAAATTCTGTCTTTCCTTCAAATATATCTATCTTTTAAATTTTTTATCCATCCAAAATCTTCTTAAAAATTACAAGTTCGTACGCACTTATATTTATACCTTTCGCATATAAACTTTAGTGAATTTTCGGGTGTTTTCCGCATGAAGTGGTCCTTAACAAAATAAAATAAACAATGAATAGTAGTAGTGATAGAAGGATTCTTGATTTAAAAACTAGTATTATCGATACAAACATTCCTTATATAGACAATCCTCCGAAAAATAATCCTAATCTTAAAAATATTACTTTGAATATAAACCGTGATACTTACGATACTTACACTCCTCCAAGACCTCCCGCCCGTTCCATAACCACTAGTAACTATAGTACCGCTTCTTTCATGCAACGTGGTAATTATGATAATGTTCACCAACGTTGTGGTGACTTTGTAATAGATATAGAACCCTATCACCCTGTTACCTCCTCCAGTGGTGTTTCTTCTTATAGTACCGGTGGTGCTACCACTATGTCCACTAATTTGTCCTCTCAACCTTCAACTACTTTATTTACCACCACAAATACAAATTCTACTACATTCGATGGTAATTTGAACAAAAAATTACGTGAACTTGAATCTCATAATCGGTATCAATCAGATCAATTAAAATCAATCCTTTGGGAACGAGATGATTTAAAGCATAGAAATCATGGATTGGAAGCTAAAATTAAAGTCTTACAAGATCAGATTAATCAATCTGGTCAATATCTTGAAGAATGTGAATCTTTAAAAAATCAAAACGAAAATTTACATAATGGAATTCGTCAATTACAATCTATGATCATAACTTCCAACAAAGAACGTGACGATATAAGAGGAAAATATCAATTATTAGAGTTATATTTAAGTCAAATGCAAAAAAAAT